AACGTTGCCGCGTTCAGTGGGCAGGAGCCATTAGAAATTCTATTCCTTGTTCCTGTTGCCTGTTGCCTGGCATTCCGTGCTTTCCAGCAAGCGACACAAGTCGACACAAATGTCGTTCTGTCTTTCTTCGCATTCAATGAATAATAAAGACAGAACGACACTTGTGTCGACTTGTGTCGCTTGCTGGAAATCACGGATTGTGTGATAGGCTTTATTAGAGACCCTAGAAGATAGGGGTTAGGTTAGGTCTTCTAGGGTCTCTAGGCTTTATGCGCAATGGTTCACCTTTCTTAAGGCCTGTGTCCACGATGCTAGGACTTGGTCCAAGTTCTAGCATCGTGGATACAGGCCTTTAAGCCCAATGTCCACGATGCTAGAACTTGGTCCAAGTCCTTGGTCCGAGAAACGTACAGCCAATAAAATTGCCGCTTTTCCGTAAAAGCTACAAATTGATTGGTTACAAATTTCTTAATTCAAGAACTTGGACCAAGTTCTAGTATCGTGGACATTGGCCTTTAATGGCCTAGTTTACATCGTGCACATGAAGAATAGAGATAAGGAGACCGAACTGTATGTTCGGGACACGCGGCCAAAACCGATCCCCGATGGTTGTATCTTTAGGTACCAATAGATGGCACTGCAATCTGAAGGTACCCGATGGCTATTGGCTTAGAGTTGAGGAGGAGGAGAGATTGCAGGGTGGAGCGTGGTGGGGAGAGTTAAAATCGTGCATGTATTTGTGCGCTGTTGCCGGTCTCGTCTGCTTCCACACACTAACATAGCCGCCGGTGCGTGTACGTGTGGGTCCCGTCAAACGGAGGTGCCATCTAGCGGAGCATTAGTAAATTAGAGTCCAGCGACCAATTTGGCCGTGTTTCTCGAACATTTTTCCGTGTCAGTTCGGTCTCCTTATCTCTATTCTTCATGATCGTGCACTTGATACGCGTATCAAACAGTGTATTTGAACTGATCAGCCAATGACCAAACGAATTTACTAGTTATTTACTATTTGTTACTATTTGATACGCGTATCAAGTGCACGATGTAAACTAGCCGTGCTTTCCAGCAAGCGACACAAGTCGACACAAATGTCGTTCTGTCTTTCTTCGCATTCAATGAATAATAAAGACAGAACGACACTTGTGTCGACTTGTGTCGCTTGCTGGAAAGCACGGTAGGTCATTATAGCCGTATCACACTAGCGGTTCGCGTTGGCGTTGCCGTTGGCGTTGCCGTTGGCTGCTGCGTCTCGACCAATCAGAGAATAGCAAAGGTCGAGACGCAGCAGCCAACGGCAACGCCAACGCGAACCGCTAGTGTGATACGACTATTACATCATGATGCCACGTGCGTATTCACAGTTCACACTATTCACAGTAGTTTCGTTTGGGACAATGGGACGGCGAGCGTATGGCACATCTTCTGAATTAGAAGAACGATTTTTTATCCTGCGGGGTTGCATCATCCCGCGCGAGACCAGATAGTCAGGGCCTTCGCTTTGTACATTACCACCAAGTAATCGCTACCCATACAGCACAAGAACGTCCAGCAACATTGCAATATTCTGTATGGGTATACAACGTCTTTTGAACACGCACAAGTCAGTACATTACCAATCGCTTAACTATAAGCGTCTATTGAACACGTATAACTGAAAGGGATCGACATGGCCGTATCAGTCCGCACTTAGCGGCTGGGCCAACTAACCGGAGGAAGAAGTGCATATCCACGTCGTATCCACGTACATTTTATTGAATGGTAAGTACGCAGTTGAACTATAAATTCATTTATGTTTTATGATATATTTATGGTTTGCCACCTATTGATGGCCTTTGTTCCCTTTGCTACAAGGAAACTCTAAAAAAGAAGCAACAACCTCAAGTGTCAGCTGCCACCGTATCCAACCTCATAGACTGTCTCCAGCAATGCTGGTACGTTGCAAGGCAGTTTTGGTAACCCAGGGCTGTGTTCGACTCGCGGTAAAATTTCGCCGAAGCCGACCCAGCGCGCAGTTGTGAACGACCATACGTGCCTGCTCGAATAGGCAACCTGTCGTACTGACATGTATGTTACCTTAACACCCTGTACATGTCCTATATGTTATTTATAACTTTTATAAGTGATAACGTAGCAAATGTATATCTAATTTATATCTAACGATCAATTAATATAAGAATTTATGTGTTTGTGGTATAATGTAAATATTTCCATTGACTTTGAAAAATGATAAAATATAATGGAAACTTAAGAAATATAAAGGATCTAAAGAAAATTTAAAGATAATCATAATAATAAATAATTATTTTCATTGTTCTTATGGTATGTATTATACTTTCGTCCATCAGGTAAACAGGGAAGATCAGGAAAGTGAAGTAGGTGTAAGCAGTGCAGTAGCTGAAAGTTCATCGGAGTAATGGCGATGTAGACGACTCTTTTGATGGTAAAGAGACTGATAAGGAATCTAAAAAGAAAAATCGTGCTGTATGTCGCAAAAATATTAGTTTGACTGGTTAGTGTCAATGTAATGTAATTGGTAATGCTGAATTAGAATTAGAGTTTAGTTTTGACGATTTTGACCAAAGCATCTCAGTCTTCACTCGGCGCTCCGAGTGAGACACCCGGCGGTGGATGCCACATCCACTGCGGTAGACGCCGAGTCCACAGCTGTGATGCAAACTTTGGGTTCCGAGCACCATGAAAGTGTTACACTCGGTGCTC